CTGGCTGTCGGCTGAGCCACATATTTCCAGGTGGCAAGCCTGGGCTCTTTCACATGGCTGCAGCAGAGGTCCAAGAGAATAGAAGCATTCACTGGATCAAAGGAAGTTACAAGGACAGTCCATACACAAGTGGTGGGAAAGACTCCACTCCTGATGGGAGGAGCAAAACAGAGCAAAACAGAAAATGTAGCCATCTAAAACCGACTATGTGTAGGATGCTTTTCCTGAAAGCTTTCCATAGCTGTCCTTTAGTCATTTTCCCTTTAAAACGTAATCTTTTCAGAGGCCTTTCCTAACCACTAGATTTAAAGTACTTCTTTACCTTCTGTTGGGGACTGACATTATATTTTACTAGTTTAAGAATTAAATTTAGTGAGTAATGTACGTGTTCTGCCCAGAGCATTTGAAAGTAATGTGTTCCAGACAAGGTCCTTGTGATAAACAAGGTGTTGCCTAGAAGCAAAACAAAGGACCTGAGTTGCAAGTAAGCAAGAGCTGCTCCGCCCCAAGGCATTGGGGGTCTGGAGGCCACATGATAAACATCCCATAAGATGGCTGGTTAGTCAATGATGGGTAAGACCCCTCAAGGGAGGGGCGACCTAAGCCAGGCAAAGCTGCCAGGGTTCAGCCGAAGATCTTAGGGGGTCACCTAAGAGAAGCTGGGGATGAGAAATGCCCCCTGTGGCTCACCTTGCCCATCCTTGCTAATCTTGGTCAGTGATCTATGCCTAGCGCCTAGAGCAATCACCTGGAAATTCTGAGCCAGGGGATATCTGCTTCCATAAGGCTACGCATTCTGGAATTTATGGCTATTGCTGCAATGCCTGGGTGGTTACGTACAAGGAACTAAGTTTAAAATTTTAAAGTATAAAAATAAAACGGACCCAGTGTATTATTACTCGAGTCAACTGTTTGTACGTGTGTCCGCGGTTTTCTTTGTGTTCTGCGTTTGTGTTTTGTGTTCTGTGTTCATCCTCCGTCCTGTAAATGGGCCACGACAACCTTCCTCATCTTTACCAATTCATGACCCTGTTTTATTTTCTATCACAATGATTACACATTATTATTCATTCTTCACTTGTCTGTCTTCTCTATGAGAGCGGAAACTTACCCTGCCTTGTTCACTCCCAAGAGCTTTAATAGTAGACGCTGAAGAAATATGTAGGCAATGCACATCTTTATTTTTTATTTCACAATAAGGAAGATAACCAAATTATTAAACAATTGAAAGAATAAAGCACTTCAGTTAGTAAAATGTACTTTAGTAAAAACAATCTAAATGGAATTAAAATATTTTTTTTATCTCTTCTGTCCAGACAAAAAATGAAGAATCTACTTTTTAAGTTCAAAGTAGAAAGTTATCCGAGCCTTTTCTGAACTAGGTGACTTAAGGCTTCAGTCTCCAAATATAATAACATTAAGATACCGGTTTAGAAATTAACTTTTTTTTCCCCAGATCACCCTAAACACAAACAATCTCTCAACTGAATCTGTGGCTTATCTCATTTTGTTAAGAGCTTATTACATGGGAAGGTTCAGGGACTTCTGTTTCTATCCCTCAAAAGCACAGTGGCAGTCAGCATGTCAGCCTCTGCAGCACCAAACACTCAAAACACCAGACCACTCTAGCCATCCTACCATCACAGCAAGGGCCCCAAAGGTCCAGTGGCTGGACTATTTGTATCATGCCTAATCTCAATCAATCCAGGTAGAGAAGGCTGTACTATATAAAGAACACTACTTTCTAACATAGTTTACTCAAATAAAAACAGATCAAGTTATTACAGAGTATTTTTACATTTTATTTTTTATGAATGACAGACCTACTCAAGATAATTTTATTCAGTTTATTTAAATAAGGATAAGGCTACTTAAAAGACTTTTTACATACAAAAATTTACATTACAAGGTTAAACTTTTCTGTACTGAATTACAAAACCTGCACAAGCATTTAATAAAAGAGCACACTTATAAACATTTTGACCATGTTGTATAGCCTCTAAAAATTACTGAAGTTCAACAGTAGTAAATAGAGGAAGCTCTTACATATATATGATTTAATCTACTGGCAGTTTTACTTAATGTAAGTTTTTAAGAGGTCACATTGCTATTGAATGAGTCTCTAGATCAGTTTTAGAATCTTCTCTCAAAACTTAAGTTAACCAAAATATTATTTCAAACAATAATCCCAATTCTGAAGTATTTTAATACTAGCAAATATATTATGGCCTCAGAGTAGTAGTTGAACCAACTTTCCAAAATGCCTGGTAGCTATCTACATTAATAAGGCTATTTTGGAAAACTGTACAGTCTTTAGAGCCATTGAGAAGTAATTTAGTGCCCTGATATTGCAGGGTCTTGAAACTTTCCAGAATTCACAAAGCAGTCTATGATCCCTCATATGTAGGAGGACTGGGGGTCAGCCTATTTTCACCTCTCAGTGAATGAGTAGGGCCAAGCAAAATGACTTGCAAACCTAAGCCTGAAACTTAGAATCTATAGAAATGAGGAATGAGAATGGAAGTATAGGTAAAGGGGAAAAAGGAAAACAGGGAGCAATGAAGGAGAGGAAGAAAAGAATAAGGACCAGGTGGTAGGAAGAAAATGGTAGAAGTGGTAAAGTGCCTATAACTGTACCTTACAAAGCCACCAACTGACTGTAATGCCATTCATTTGCCTACCCCCCAAATAAGAAAAGCTGACTTTATTGGAATATAGAATCAAGAGCAACAAATACTAACCTGTGTTAGTGAGTAAAGGGTACTCTAAAGGGTATTCTAAAGTTGTTTGCCATTCAAATCAAGTTTTTCTAACCTTTCAAGCAAACAAAAACAACACTTCAAAACATAAGACTCCCAGTGCCGCTGCTCCAGATCCCCATCATTCAGCATGCTTTTATCATGTGGAGAAAGACATAGCAAGACAAGCTGTATCCATATACTTTCAGAAGGCACAGCACTCTAAGGTGGGGAAATTGTGTAATACATAGTACATGGTTTAGCGCTTCTCCATATTTCAAACTCAAAATAGCTCAATAATATGCTGCTATATGAGCACTGATTCTGAATGTTCATAATATAAACTTCAATTTGAAGCAACAATGTTACACAGTTCAGCTGTTATTACCAACCTACTCTGTAAGTTAAATATACAAATTAAAAATTAATTTCACTGAGTAACTAAAAATAAGTTCCCACTGACTTAAAATCGTCAAATGGCTAACTCTCTCTCAACTAAGAGAGAAATGCAGATGGAAGCAGAGGGGACAACTGAATATAAAATATAATTTGTCATTCTACCCTAAAATCTGCACTTTTTAAATCTCCCTTTACATACATTTATGTATAAATCAAAGGTGCCCACCAACAATATTACATATATCAGCCCTGCAGATAACTATATACTTAACAATTTATGGAATGCTTAGTATGTATCAATTTTGTCTTATGCATACAGATTTAGAGTCTAAAATAAAGGCAAAATGCTTGGAAAACTACAGGGTTAAAGTCTTAGTACAGTACTTACCTGCAAGGCTGAATTAATTTTTTGGAAGGCTATTCAATAGCTGAACTAAAATGTTTGTTTTAACCCTTTGCACTCAGATGTCGAGTGTGACTCGACCCAGTTAGCAAAAATTATAGAGATTAAAATTACTCTTTGAATGTATCAATAATTTGAAATATAAAAAAATCCAAATAAATAAGTTTGTATGAAAAGAAACTCCAGTTTTTTATTCTACTGCCGCGCTTTGTAAAATCTGGGGTATTTAAAAAATTAAATCCCAAGTAGAATAAAGGAATCGAGAAAAAGCGAGTGCAAAGGGTTAACAAATCAAAAGAGGTATAAGACTCCTCTAAAACATACCGAAAAGGGCAAATCCTCATTTCAAGATCGATCATACAAGGAAAAAAGTATAAAGTATCCTTTGCTCTTGGTTAGAAATACATAGCAGAAAAACAGAAACTAGAACTTATGCATATAAGGTAAACTCTACTTTCCCAATGACTTCCATTATACAACTGGAGTAATAATACCACTTGAACAACAATAAACAAAAAACCTTACTAAATAATCCTATGTGGGACAGCCCTGTGGGCAGCTGTCCATATTACACCTGTAGGGAGCCTCACCTAAGCCAGGAGTCCATTTTCCTATGCGTGCACTCAGTGACTACCGACTCCAGTAGCTCTTTAACTGCCAACTCCAGATGACACTGACTTTTCCCCTCACTGCTACACTTCCTGGACTCTCATAAGTTCTAGAATTCCACCACCCCCTACCCCATTCTTTAAATTTGCTGCCATCAAGTACCACCTCTAACATGATTACTCAGCCTAAAGATTTTTAAATCAACTTCATTCTGAAAAGATTAAGCTCCTAGGAGGGAGTAACAGCCAAACTCACAGAGTGAGATCACAGACTGCTCATGAAACGAGTATGTCCGACTGTTGCATGACAAGAATATTCTAAAGAATGGACCAGGTGCAGGACTGATCAGTTAGCTCATAAAATATATCAATTCTGTTATGATTTCAAGAGAAGGAGTAATAGCAAGTGCTGATTTCCCATTTGTTTTTTATGGGAAGAACAATGTAAGCAATTAATGAATAGCAATTTTATCTGTATATCCTGAATAGTTTTCCAGCAGTACTATAAAGATGCTTTTCTTGGTGAACCTTTGAGGATGCATGTGGCAATATTTACTAAGATACTGTGACAAACTGTTATATGCTTCTGCTGGTAAAAGAAATTAATAAAAATAGCAAACTAGTAAAATATTAGAGTTTTTAAAAAAAATCTCAAATTTCCCCAGACTCTGAAAGACACTAATGAGTAATTCCTAAAATTCATTAGATGCTTTATACCAGACTTGCAGCTAATGATTTGACTAGGGTCAATAGAAATGACATATACTAAGTTATTAGTTTAAAAAGAAATTCTTTCCTAATCAGAGCATGACAGGCAAGAATTTTAAAAAAGAAAGGAAGGGAGGAAAAGAGGGAAGGAAAAGAAATGCTTTATTTTTCTGAACCTATTTTTAAACCTCTTAAGAAAATTCCACAATAATCAGGATCTCTGTAAATACTGTCAACATATATGAACTTGTTTCAAAAACTACAGTTACAGTTATATTTACATTTTTGGAAACTTTCCTTCACGGCCATGTGACATGTTGTATCTTTCTCTTTGCTTCTGGGGGTTTCAGGTTATTCTGAAAGACATGAACAGAAATCAATTTATACTTGCAGAAATGTCAGAGAATAACTAAAATGAACATTTTAAACAGTCAAGGTTTACTATTGATATACTAATGAAAGATCACTGCTGCCATCTGGTGGGAATATATTTTAGGAGATTAGATGGAGGAAAAAAGCTTCCCCTGGCTCCGATTTTTCTAGCTCTGTGGTTCTCAAATGTTTGCTCATCAGAATAATCTAGAGCACATAAAAATATGCCCAGGCCTGGGCCTTACCCCAAAACCAATTAAACCAGAATTCAAAGAAGGTCCTGGAATGAGAACCTTCCAGGGGATGAGGCTCTGACTTCTTTTTTATTTGAAAGCTCCTCAGGTGATCTTAACAAGTGCAGTTGAAAACCACTGACTGCTCCAGATCTGCTTCCTCCCTGCCTAGCCCATGTCCTCCCTAAACTTCACAATCCAAAGTCAGTGGGAAATGTTAAAATAGGAGAAAAGATTTTACATACTTATAAAAACACACACACATATGTATATACATATATCTCACACCTCTGAAAGAATATATTTCTTTGGATAGAGAAATGTTGTTTAAGAGGCTGAAAGAAAAATCCTCAAGACTCACTCCTTATTGCAATATTTTCAGATATGGCTTATTCTTCCAACTCTTACTTATATCACACCTTCCTCCTCTCTCCCACAAAGGTGGATGAAAAAAGTATGAAAGCAGGATGGTCTCATAATGTGTACCCTGGGATCAAATAAGCCTGAATTCAAATTGCAGTCTGGTCACTCACTAACTCTGGAATCCTGGACAAGTTTATTGAAATTTGATAAGCTTCTGTTTCCTCACATGTGAAATGGGAAAAACAAGAATGCCTACTCCACAGGGTTGCTGAAAGGACTCAATGAAAAGTAAAGAACTCATTGCTGGTCAAGCGGCTTTCTGTTTCCAGGATCTACTATTTTAGAATGTTTGAACTCCTCTGAATTTTGATCCCTTTACTCACGATTAGATGATGATAAAGCCAAAGTATACTACAGGAATAATGGCTATAAAACTGCTAGGTATTTAAAAGTAAAATAACTTTTCTTTTTTTTTGAGACACAGTCTCACTTTGTTGCCTGGGCTAGCGTTCCATGGCGTCAGCCTAGCTCACAGTAACCTCAAACTCCTGGGCTCAAGCGATCCTTCTGTCTCAGCCTCCCAAGTAGCTAGGACTATAGGCATGCACCACCATGCCTGGCTAATTTGTTCTATATATTTTTAGTTGGCCAATTAATTTCCTTCTATTTTTAGTAGAGACAGGTTTTCGCTCTTGCTTAGGCAGGTTTTGAGCTCCTGACCTTGATCGATCCTCCCAGAGTGCTAGGATTACTTTTCTGAGGAGCCTAGGAAAAGTATCAAACACATATATTATATGTAGATTACATATATATATATACATATATATATATATACACATATACATATATATATATATTTTTTTTTTTGAGACAAGAGTCTCACTTTGTTGCCCAGGCTAGAGTGAGTGCCGTGTCGTCAGCCTAGCTCACAGCAACCTCAGACTCCTGGGCTCCCCAACCTCAACATTACTTTTGTTAATTATTATCCTATCCATAAATCAGCAATTAATTTAAGTAGGTAACTTAATTTCATTTACAGGATTGACTGAGGCAATGAGAGAAGGATTAATGACTTGTCCCAAATCCCATGCTAGTAACCGAAACAGAGAAATTACAAGAATTCAGAATTCAACAACACAGTGATTTTAAAATATAAAATTAGGTTGTATTGGTTTGAAAAGTTTATGGACACAATCTTGTGTCCCACTTAGGTGATCTAGGAGTGAAAATGTATAAACACAAAAAAATAATCAGAAATAATACTTATGAAAAGATTTACCATAGCAATTCTTAGAATACGCAACTCCACATGTCATGTTATTTATCTAGAAACATCTTCTCTTTCTGGAACTTGCAATTACTAAAATTCTATGGGCTTCACACCCATATGCCACACCACAACTATAGTACAAATCCCTACACATTATCCCACATAAACAGGGCATATAATGCCAACATAACCTAATCTCATTACCTTAGTTAATCTACCTGCGTACCTGTACTATTACGATGCCAGCTCTACACTGAGCATTTTCCTCTTCCACCTGTATTCGCTACACATCCTTCTACCCCAGCAACGACATCCACTCAAGTCATCGGTCTTTATACATAACCGAATCTTAGGACAAGCAGTTCTATGTATAGATAGTAATTGCTGTTAAATTAAAATGATAACATCTGACGTGTTGCTTGGGCTTCAATCACAACCAACATGTCACTGCTGAGAGATATACTCCCTTATGTCTAATCATGACACTAGTATCATACAGTAAATGCCAGAGAGTTTCAATATCACGACAAAAGATTGACATGAGATAAGTAGTTGTTATAATAGCTCCATGACTGAAACGAATACATACCTGCACATCTACCACTCAAAAGGTTGCTGCTTACAAAAAGATTCTTTCTCCTATTCTTCTTCACCCAGCCCTAGAAGGCACTAACTTAATGTCTCATACTTCCACATAACTGTGCTTTCTTCGCTGTTTACCTGGTCCTCACAGGGTATATTAACTACTCAGGGGCAGCACAATTCCAATCCCAGGTTCTTGTACTCTGCCTGGAACGCTAGCTTGCTCTCTACTTGGCTACAGGTCTCTCTACCGAAATTCATTTTTCACTAAGAAATTAGCTGGACAACTAAAAATATATAGAAAAAATTAGCCTGGGCATGGTGGCACATGCCTGTAGTCCCAGCTACTTGAGAGGCATGACAGGAATTGCTTGACCCAGAGTTTGAGGTTGACTGTGAGAGGACTCCTGTCTCAAAAAAAAGAAA